GCCAGAGACACGCGCGCCCAGAGACAACCTAAGCGAGAAGCAAAGGAAGCCAGAGGGGAGGAAAGAGGGGGCAGTGCCCGAGGGGCTAGGAGGTGGGTTCAAACACCCCAAAGGGTAGATGGTCAGGGGGGGTGGAGGGGGGTGGGACTCACGATGATTTCTCGTGGTATTGAGATTTCAATCACGAGGAAAATAGCGGAGATGGTCGATGAGATAACTTAGGAGAATTTTCCGTCCCTTTATACCCAAGCTCTAGTCACGTGCGCAGCCACCCAACCAAGGAAATATCTATGTGTCATACATGGTCACAGGTGTGAGTCACACCAACTCATATCTGCGACCGTACAGGATAAGCGAGTCGTTCTAATTTTAACAGTTTCAAGGGTCAAATACAGATGAGGGGATGAGCTACTACTCATTGAGGAGGGGAATGCACTTCGGGGTGGTAATATCTGGTGATTTAGGAGAGCTTAAAAAACTTGGTGGTTGCTGCCCTGGGCAAAGGGAGAGTCGCGGGGGCGGGGGGGGGGGTTGTGTTTGAAGTAACAAGGCTTCACAAACTAGTTAGAAATAGAACACAGCTCGATGGCAGCCTCGTAAGTGATCAGGTTTTCTTGGGCTTATCACATGCATTTGGACTATTAAACACTTTCCTCCACCTGTGCTTACCCCCAAGGGTGTGTTTGGATACGGCCGTTCGGTTCGGTTCGTTCATATGAACAACCGTTCCCTTCTATTTCGAAACGGAAGGAATTAAACTGGTGTTTGGAAACTGTGGAATAAATTGACCGTTCCCCTTCTGAAATGTACCAAGTCGACCGTTGCGAAGCGTAACAGTCACGAACAGTTCCGTTCCCGCCGAACAACATCAAATATTTACCACGCGGGCATGTTGACAGGATCTCGGAGCCTTGTGACCACAGGCGCTGACCCACCATCAGTCGTTAGCTCGGCTGGGGCTTCTGTGCGACTTGCGATCACGTAACTAAAGAGAGATCTATTATCAATCGATTCTTTCTTCTTTTTCTCCGACATCGCTCGCATTATCTTTCCCTAGATCCTTCGGTTGTTTAAGGGCACAATCGGTGAATTGACATGAAAAGCAAAAGAAAACAAATGCCAGCGTTGCCCAATACCCTCTGATCATTCGGTCCACTTGGTATTGGACCAACTGCATAATCCTCCCTAAAGCGAAAGAAACACATGCGAAAAAGGAAAAAACCCAGTAGACATTAATTAATGGTCCCAAATTTCTTCCACCTTAGGGTTTTAGAGGGCGAGTGGGTCCACTAGGCAGCCCTTATTCCTCGCCTAATGAGGCAAGAAGGCTACGTTAATAACCGTGGTGAAGACGTAGAAGTGCAGGTTTACTGGGGGGGGTCTCCTGGGCAATCGGTAGCATGGGAGGAGTAACTAGAAGCACTGCAACACTAGACACAAATTTCCGGAGTGTCAGTTAAGTGAATGGGGGCAATTGGCGAGCGTGCATCTTTCCCGAGGACATGATAGATTGAGGGAGCCGCAGACATGGTGCTTATTTTCCTCCCTATTTTGATTCCCAACAGCTTGCGACGCCGATAGGGAGCGGATGAACATTTTCGATTCCCCTCTGCAGGCTGTGTTGGCGGAGAATTGGGCGAAGAATCTTGACCTCACGATGAGCCGAATTTCTCCAGCTTGTGAAGCCCCAAGTTCGGGCTTGAAGTGTAAGATGAAGAGTACCAGTTGTCCCGCTCTAAAAGTCTACGCCGGTATGATACGAGTTGCAGGGAACATGTGCTCCTGTGTCACTCCAGCCCTACATATCCCTGCAGTGCACATAGTTATTGAGGTCCTGTTCGGATGTGCCAGGCCAAAAAAACCATGGGTTTATGGAGGTACAACCGGTAAGTTTTGTATATTTTACTAGCAGGGGTGTTGCACTAGTCCAAGATGAACGGCTGAATTAGGTAGTGACGATACCCAATTAGCTGCAACCATACCCAATTCACTCCCTCACTCCCAGCTAGCCGAACACCCCCTACTAGTAAAATATACAAAACTTACCGGCTGTACCTCCGTAGTAGCTGGTACAAGTAACCATGATATTCTGAGGTTGTACAGTAGCAAACCAAACGAAGAGGGAACAACCGAAATACTCAGTTTGTGGGTTCCGATATCTTGGAGGCGGCAAGGCTGATAGCGGAGTTCGGTGGGGTTTTTGAACTTCACCATGGGAAGCAATATTTTAAATCCCAGGGTTTGCCTCTCTTTTGAGGAGTTCCAAATTTCCCGATAACCACAGCTTGTTGCCACACCAGCCGTATCCCCACAGCCACGATTAGTCAAAACCAACCCTTCGGCCTTAGCCGCCTCCCGAGCAGGCTCTAATTGCAACATTTACACTTACAGAAGTTTACAGTTAAATATGATTCCATTACCGGCCACAGTAGCCCGCTTACTAGCTCTATTGTAAAGGGCTTAATTTTTTCCCCTAGCTATGGTATTTTATGGCATCTTCTCTTCTGCAGCCATTCTTGTCATTCAGCGTGGTGAGTACAAAAGACCTTTGTCTGCCATCTGAGCCGTTTAGGAAAGGTGACAAGGCTCAACCACCGAGCACACACTAACCAGCCATGGCGCTCTATCTGCGCACAAACCAGAGAAGGTCATGGGGTCCGAGTGTGCGGGAATTCTTCATATCAGATTCCTTATCAACGGGATCTGGTTAGAGTATTCTGGGAGAGAACAAGGCAGGCGAGGATGGGCTGTTTACCGTTTAATTAGATTTGCGCCAGCAAGAGAAATAATGGATGAGGCCAGGCTGCTGGTGCACGAGATGAAAAGTATGATTATGATTGGTGCACCTCAGCCACTCGCATGCAGCCTAGCGCGCTCATATGCTCTGAGAAATTCGAGGCGCTAAACACCCCCCATACTCCAAACCCCCCACACCCCCCCCCTGCATAGCGCTTCCCTGTTTTAAATAATAAGGTGGCCTAGTGCGCTATACTGCATACCTCAGAACCCCGCCCTTTCATTTACTCTAGCTTTTCATGCCCCGTCGCGGCCCAGCCTGGGTCAAACTCCCTAATAGCGCAAATCTTTCTTCACCAATGCTGGATTTACGTGCCCGATAAACGAAATAAGGAAGAGCTGTGAATTTGGCGAGGCGATGGAAACTGGCCTCACAGGAGGAAAATCAGAATCGCCGCGCCGCCCCAACCGGTAACATTGAAGCCAAAGACCTATACCGAAAAGGTTATTCGCTAACGATGTAACCCTCTTATATTAGAATTTTACATCCCGAAACTAAAGAACGGTGCCTTAAACTGAGTGGTTGAGGGACAAACACCGCAACCAGAGTTCACATTCACATCCACCTACGGTGTTTACGCGGTAGGAATCTGGAATAAGGTATTTGGACAGCCAAGCGCTTCACCTGGTGCGACAAGTATTGACAAAACTCAGTCTGTTTTAGGTTTTTCCAAATCTAGCTGAGGTAGCCGTAGCAAGCGCTACTCACTCCCCACGATATATATCTAAAAGCACCATTCGATCATACACTTCGGATTCTTAAACAATTCAGTGCCAGGCTCCAGCTGGATTAGCAAAAGCCCAAGGGGAGGTTCCGCACTCCAACGGTATTTACTGACATATGATGGCAGAGATTCCGGACGCAAATAGCGCGGGGGGTTCTAGGATTGACGCACCAGGTTTGGGCAGCGAAACCACTGTGCAACAGAGAGAACTGCGCGCTAGAATGGAGGTCAGCAATGCTTTCTTTTCTCGATACGAGCGAACCGAGGAGATAGACATCCTCAATGTGGCAATTTTGTTAGCTGAAAACGCTATTGCAACAATCGCCCACGCGCACCCTAGTCGAACTCTTTTGGCCGCCAAGTTGCGCAAAATGTTTGGGAGGAAATTCGAGCATACGGAAGATGTAGCGGATCTCGACATGGCATGGGTATGGGGGATGGAGGAGATGGACAGAGGACCACTGGAAACCATCGCCTATGCAGATGCATGCAGCAGTATCCTCGGCATACGGCGGGAGATAGAGCGTGCTAATAGCCGACGGAGATTCCCAGGTGCAGATTTGCTGAGAAGATATCGGCGGCTGGGTAACGTGGCTGACCTCGATGAAGCAATCTCCCAGATTGAAAGGGCAATGGAAGAATGCCATTCGGACAACCGGGCTCGGGTGGATATGCTAAATGACTGCAGTGCCATGTTGGAAATTAGATTTGAGCGGCTAGGTGATTTGGATGATCTCCATGCCGCTGTAGAGTTAAATGAGGAAATGGTAAGAGGGACTTGTCCTGGAGACCTTGCTCATATCGAAGCGCTCGGGGGGCTGGGGGTCATATTATTCAAAAGGTTTCGGCAGACTAGTGACCATTCTGACCTCCAAAAATCCATTAAGAGCACCCAAGAGGCACTCGCTGCTACCCCCCGAAATCACCCCGAGCGAGCGGTCAGGCTCCTCAACCTCGGAATTGGTCTCTCTGCAAGATTTGAGTGGATTGGAAACCTTGGTGACCTCCAGAAGGCAATTAGGCACGGTGAAGAGGCACTAGCTGCTGCCCCACCACATCACCAGCAACGAGCGACCATGCACAATCGCCTAGGGGGCATGTTGTCTCAGATGTTTGGGCGAATAGGAGACTCTAGTTACCTTGAAAAAGCCATTAAACACAGCCGAGAAGCACTTGCTGTGACGCCAGCGGATGACCCATACCGAGCGATAATACACAACGACCTGGGAGGATTGTTGTCTCAGAGGTTTGATCTGATGGGAGGCCTTGACGACCTGGAAAATTCCATTAAGTTTAGCCAAGAGGCACTAGCTGCTACGCCCAATGATCACCCCAGCCGAGCAGCCATACACCATACTCTAGGAGGCAGCTTCTCTAGGAGGTTTAAGCGGATAAAAGACCTTGGTGATCTCGAAAATGCGATTAGGCATAGCAAAGAAGCGCTAGCTACTACCCCTCAATATGCCCCGAATCGGCCAGTCAGACACTGTAACCTAGGATTTAATTTCTGCCAGCGATTCGAGCGAATAGGTGACCTTGATGACCTTCAGGAAGCCATTAGGCACCAACAAGAGGCAGCAAATTCTACCCCTCAAGATCACCCCCTACGGGCCGCGATACAGAGCAACCTGGGTAGCACTTTCTCTACAAAGTTTAACCGGACGGGAGACCTTGGTGACCTCCGAAACGCCATTAAGCACAAAGAGGAAGCGCTAGCTGCTACCCCCCAAGATCACCCCGATAGATCCACGATCTGTGACGACCTAGGAGCCATGCTTTCTGAAAGGTTTCGCCTGACAGGAGATTTTGATGACCTCCAAAAAGCCATCGAGCACAGCGAAGAGGCACTAGCTGCCATACCCCAAGATCACCCCGATCGAGCAGACAGACAAAGTAGAATGGGTGACAAGCTCAACGAAAGGTTTGAACGCACAGGAGATATTAGTGACCTCCAAAAGGTTGTTAAGCACAGGGAAGAGGCACTAGCGGCTACCCCTCATGACCACCCCGATCGAGCAGCCAGAATCAATAATCTAGGAGCCATGCTTCAGAAGAGGTTTGACCGGGTTGGGGACCCTGGAGACCTCCAAAACTGCATTGTCAACTTCCAAGAGGCGCTGGCTACTACCCATCTAGATCAACCCGATAGAGCTACAATACATGACAACCTAGTGCTCTCATTTTCTAAAAGATTTGAGCGGACAGGAGACTCCGGTGACCTCGGATATGCCATTAAGCATGGCGAAGAGGCACTAGCAGCTACCCCTCATGACCACCCCTATCGACCGAAAAGACACGGTACTCTCGGAAGCTGGCTCTCTGAGAGATTTCAGCACACAGGAGACCTCGGCGATATCGAAAAAGCCATTAGGCACTACGAAGAGGCCCTAGATGCTACCCCCCGAGATCACCCTGACCGAGCAGATAGACATATCAACCTAAGAAGAGGTCTTCAGGCAAGATTTGAGTGCATAGGAGACCTTAGCAACTTACAAAAAGCTATTGAGCATAGTGAAGAGGCACTAGATTCCACTCCTGAAGATCACCCCCGTCGAGCGACCATTCACAATAACCTAGGGGTCCTTCTCTCTGATAGGTTTCAGAGAGTAGGAGACATTAGCGACCTCGAACAGGGCATTAAATTCAACGCAGAGGCACTAGTTGCTACCCCTCAAGATCACCCCACGCGAGCGGATCTGCACAACAACCAGGGAATCAATTTTTACACGAGGTTTCATTCCACAGGAGACCTTGGTGACCTCCAAGAGGCCATTCGGCACGGTGAAAAAGCGTTAGCTGCTTCCACCGAAGGTCACTACAAACGATCACGCAGACAAAGTAATCTGGGAAATATAATCCTAAAAAGATTCCAACGAATAGGAGACCTTGATGACCTCCAAAAGGTTATCCGGCATGCTAAGGAAGCTCTGGAAGCTTCGTCTAAAGATCACCCTGATCGAGCAAACCTGTGCATCGGCTTAGGTAGAGCTTTGGAACTAAGGCGCCATAGTCCACACCCCCGTAGTGACTTAGAGGAAATCCTCGACCTATACCGCGAGGCTTGTAATTGCTTTATCTCACCACCCAGGGATAGGATTGAGGCGGCCCGTAGAGCTTCTGATTTACTATTTCCAATTGGGGAATGTGATGAATCAAGTTCCATCCTCGAGGATGCAGTCAACTTGATGCCAAGTGTCAATCTAAAATTACTAAAACGAGATGACCAACAACACATGCTTTCGGAACTCTCGGGGCTGGCACCCGCTGCTGCATCAGTTGCACTGCAGGCTAAGAAAGAAGCTTATCACAGTCTTAAGTTACTAGAACTCGGTCTTGGAATAATCATGGGCTTTACGATCGACTCAAGGTCAGAACTCTCAGATCTTAAAACAGATCACGAGGGTGAATTCAACAAATTTCGCCGCCTTCGGGTTGAGATTGACTCGCCCATGGATAAAAGGGAATTCACAAATGACGAGACACCCCTTCAAGCCCGAAATGGTGGTACCGGTGTACCGAGACGATGGGAGGCTGTCAGGGAGTTGGAAGCAACTCTCGCTCGTATCCGCATGTTACCTGGTTATGATGGGTTCTTGCTGCCGCCTTCTCAGGAGGATCTGATAAAAATGGCAGAACATGGGGCCATCGCTGTCTTCAACTGCACTATCTATAGGAGCGACGCCATAATTGTAACTGCCTCAGCCATCACATCATTAGAACTCCCGAAATTGAATCACGAAGACACAAGCCGCTGGATGAGTCAAATGAGTAGTTTCGGGGGAAGCGCCCCGCTCAAGCGGGGTCAGGATAACAGGCAAATGAAAGAACTCCTCATTTGGTTATGGGACACAGCAGTAGAGCCCGTTTTGGATGAATTGGAACGCAGAGGGGAGATTATCGGTGGGGGTGCCCATAATACCAATTTGAAACGGGTTTGGTGGATCGGGGTAGGGCCATTAAGCATGGCACCTTTCCATGCGGCTGGGGATCATTCCCAAGGGTCAACTCGTAACACCATAAGCCGTGTTATTTCAACATATATCCCAACAATCAAAGCCCTCGCCTATGCACGTCAAACACAACTCCGGCTATTCAACGAATACGGTGCCCCCTCTTCTACTGGACCCTTCAAGAGAGCCAAGATTCTCAAACAAAGGAGCCCCCGCCTGCTTGTCGTCCCTATGCCCGAAACACCTGGTGCGATAAGTCTACCTGGTGTCAAAAAGGAGGTTCAGTATATATGCGATTTGGTGGCTCAAAATTCGATTGGGGCCACGGTGTTGAGAAACCCAACCCCAGCCCAAGTCTACGAGAAAATCGAAAACCATGATATTGTCCATTTTGCCTGCCATGGAGTGTCCGACACCAACCCATCTAACAGTCATCTGGTTTTGTTCACCCCGGATGGGAGTGATGCTGATAAACTTCAGGCGCGAGATATATCGAATATCGTTGCACAAAATGCCCAGCTAGCGTATCTTTCAGCATGCTCCTCAGCCAAAAACCCCTCACCTGTTCTAGCCGACGAAGTTATACATCTCGCTAGTGCATTCCAACTCGCCGGATTCAGCCATACGCTCGCAAACCTATGGGAAACAGATGACCAAGCCTCGAGTGAAGTCGCAAGAGACTTCTACCACCTACTTTTCCGATATCGAGGAGATGCTGATGGGCACTACCGAGTGTCTGCCGCTTTCCATGAAGCTGTGAAGAAACTCCGAGATAAAAAACCAGGCAATTTTCTTGTATGGGCCCCTTTTGTGCACATGGGAGCCTAATATATCAGGTTGGTAACACATCCCAGAAATCATGTTCTTTCCTTTTGTTTTCCTAATCTGACTCTCGCAAGCAGGAGCCTTTTCCCCTAGTTTGACCAGTCGGACCAAGCCGCCGCCCTACCTGTGATAACCTCCCACATCTAGCTCCAACCGGATTTTCCATTTCCCCGCTTCATTGTTATATGGGATCTTTCGTAGTAAATTTTCCTCTCTTGCTTCTTTGTCCTCTACCGTTCTCGGGGGGTATAGTTTGGGCTGGATTTTCTTACTCGTACCGGAGAAGCTAAGTTAAACACTGCTGCCATAATAATTTCCATCTACAGACATCTTCAAGTCGGTTAATTCGATCGATATATCTTATGAGTTTTCATTGGTCATCTGTTCCTTCTTCCTTCTTAGGTAACGTGATTTACGTGGAAGCGGCTCTTCACCAGGATGCGGCTCACTCATGGCAACCAGGAGAAAATGAAATACTTTTTCAATTATATCTACAAATAATCATGTGACCACCTTGAAATCTTATCAGTAGGTGCTTTGAAATATGGAGAATCAGACTATGTAAATTATATTTCATAATTATTAATTATTCTTTTTGTACAATGTTTTTAAAATTGTTTCTTCCAAATAAATTTGCCATGACTCCCTTGCAAATAAAAATAAAAAAATAACTTAGAAGTACCTTTGTAGGTTATTCAAGAGATTGAATAAGTCATATAGGCTTATAGTCAATAGTTATTACTCTTGCTTATTATCTATTTTCAATGTTATAATGCCTAGTAGATTCTGATAAAAAGTAAGCAAATTACATACAAATTTAGAGTATTTGACACTAGTATAACTTAGTCCTATGGTAACCTATAACTTTGTTTTTTTGAAAGCTACTTTACAATGTCCATTAAGACAAGCACACCAGCTCCAAAAATGCAGAGATATATTTTCCATATTATATGTGCATAATACAATTAGTGGTAGAATGGTAGACAAAGAATTCGAACTCTTTATTGTCAATCTAGATACCTAGTACTGGTTGGCAAGGCAGCTTGAAATTTTGCTATTCTGTATACTCTAATTAGGAGATTAAAATATAATTCTAAAACTTTGATTAAATACTGGTCTTCTATTAGATTATAGTATAATTAAAATACTATAATTATAACTAATAACTTCTATAATAATCAATATAATTATATTATTCCAATCAAATATTGATATAAATTAGCTAACATACTCACTAGATATATAGGTAATGATTAGTAAGTGTTTAGATAGTGTAGTGATCTTATTTTTGTAATCTTATAATTATATAATAATTTGCTAACAATTTAAAGTTTATTTTGATAATGAAGGTACAGAATATAGAAAACATATCTGCCAAACTTCAAATTGAGCATACTTACTCAGATGGTATCTATAAAATTGGATGTAAAATATCTAAGTTATAGGTTATTACAATAATAAGTTATGCTATTATCAAATGTACTAAATTTGTATGTAATTTACTTATTTTCTACTTGTTTCTACTGGGCACTACAATGTTATGAATTGGCAATAAATATCCTAGAGAACTATTAGATACAAGCTTATAAGACTTATTCAGTCTCCTGGTTGTCTCATAAAGCTGTTTCTTCTATGTTTTTCAATTTTTATCAATTAAAAAACACTAATAGTTTTGTTTCCAAGACACAATCTTAAAACCTTTGCCTAGGAGGAACAACTTATAATTAGGAATTCATTTTTGCATATTTGAGTTCTCCATATTCCAAAGCACCAACTGATAATTTCTTGAGATGATCTCACAAGTTGTTAAGAATCCTACCGAGTAGGACCTAGCGACAGGTAACGATACTTCTCTGTAAGATGATAGCTCTCAGGCCTGTGCCTACGCGATCCCGATAGTCCAGTCCTTTGACTACTATCGTATTCGCGCCTACCCTCTTATACTTCTTAAGTCCTTACTTAGGACTTAGTCGTTCGACGTGGGAGGAGAAATAGTTTTCTCACTTGAGAGGAAAGACAATTCTTGGGTTTCTTAAGATAAATCTTAAAGAGCGTAAAGGTAGGTTTTATTGATAATAACTTAGAGGTAGGAAATAAACAAGAAGAACGTGTGAAGAGCTCATACTCAGGGTCCTAGTGATCCTTTATATAATCGCTCTTCACCTGGCGTGACTCATACCTCGTGTCACGCGAACCCTGAGGCTCATAACCGTGAGTCATATGAAATCCATCAGACGACTCCTATGAGTCGCTGCGCAACATGCCTAAACCAATCAAAACATAATAACCAAATCAGGTGCGCAACTCGCGTCACCTGAGTGAAACCCATGACTCATAAGTATGAGTCATATGCGAAAATCATAACATCGTGTGACTCACAACTGTGAGTCACGAACAGGTAAACATAATAACCTATGGCGCACTAGTGTGCGTCATGTGAAATCCCAACATACCTATAACTCGGAAATCCGAGCTATGTGAAATCTGCCTTGCTTAGTCACAGTTTGTGACACAAGTATTCATACAGATAATTCCAGATGTATTTGGTTTTCTACTCGTTGCCATGGTTGAGCCGCATCCCGGTGAGGAGCCGCATCCCCGTAAAGTACGTTAATCTTGCACCGCAGCTCTATGGGGATGGCATTGTGATTTTGATTGACTTTAAGGGCGGGAACTGTTGAAATTGGTGTTCTGCGTTGTTTCGTTAGAAAATGGTATTTATATCGAGAAACCTAGGTTTAGTTTTGTGAGCTTCCCACTCGCTATTGCTGATCCGGGTGTATCCGTAAAGAGTTTTCCTTCTATCCAAGGTATGATGGTGGATGACGACGCGTGATGACGTACAAGATTGGTGTATTTATTATATATCGTTCTTGTTTTTCTTCGAGAGGACTTGATCAATAATTTTCCCTTGAAAAACAAGACGTTCACTTTTCAAAACAATTTCTCGAGCATGTCTCTTCAAACCGAATTCGAGTGGCGGGATATCACTGGAGACGTAAACTTGTCCACAACGTTCGGTGCCCCGAATGTATGTAAAGGGGACGAAAGTTCAATAAGGCCACTAGGAAAGCATCTGGAACTATGTTCTTTTTTTTAGGAGGAAACCTACGGAGATCCCGGAAAACAGTTGTATAATACGCCGTATATCAGTTATTTCTGGTGCAAAATATGGCCTGTAGCTACGCTATGTATTCCGAAATACCCCTCTTTCACGCACAAGTCTCTATATTACACGGCGCTGCACCCTGCAAAAACAAACTCGAAAAATGCGCGGGGAGAATTTCGGAAGCGCCAAGAGTTCCCGCGACATGAGAAGTCGACTTCCATTAAAGAATGGTGACATCCATCGAACTCATTTAGCAGTACGGTTCCGGACAATTAGGATCAACCTTCATGATAATGAGGGGCAATGTCGAACAAAAAAAATATGCACAACCAACAACACCCTTGGTTAAATTGAGCTTCTGTAAAGTCATTTACCTTGTTAACATCTAGAACTTATCAGAAGGAAAAATAAAGTGGGCCACTTCTGGTCCTGGAGTATTAGTTTAAACATGCTGGAATTTCGTATGGTATGTCCATCAGGTGCGCATAGGGGAATTTGTAGAAAATTAAAATATGAGTAATACTTGTGAGAATATAGAACTTAGGATATATAATTATTATGGTTGAAATATAGCCTTTGGTTGAGAGAATTATTTACAGATATGTAAGTAATATACAGTTGACATAATATAGTGTTTAAAAATAGACATTTTTTAACTTGTATCTCTTATTCATTTAAACTATAAAATCGAGTATAATGATTGTGACCGATTCAACAGTTCA